TATGTATATTTATTGAATAGGAGTGTTTGGGGATCATCGCTCTACTTTTTGACCAATAGATATGGACCACATTTATACATTTTTATATTTATAATTATTTTTTATCAACAATTAGAGATAATTCAAAAATAAAATCAACACTTCGGGTCATTTTTCACCGTGGGCATCTCCACGAGTACCCTAGCCTTACTCCTGTTTCAATTGTAAAAGAATACAAGGTAGTGCTATTGGAATCATCGGATACCAAATTTATATTAGCTGCCATGCACATGGTGTCTTCCCATCTAGTAAAATATAATTCAAAATCTCAAAAATAAATAAAATGACTTTTATTTTTAACGGTTGAGATTTTTTTAAATTTTATTTGAAAGTTAATCTGATGAGTAATATTAACACTCCAAAATTAATTGAAAAAAATGTCCCAGAAGGTGTGTTTGAGGTGGTTTTTTTAAAAGTAATTCTAGCACTTATAACTTAAAAAAAAAAAGATAGTGTTTGGAACCACCCCATCACCACCATTACCACCCCCAACCCCCACTACCACAACAACACTGTCGTCACCCACCACCATCTCTGTCACAACAATCGCCACCGCTGCCATCACCACCCCATCCCTACGACAACAACCACTATCGCCCCACCACCACCCTCCATCACTATCGCTACCCCATCACCACCTCTACCACAATAATTACTACCATCGTTGTCGTCGCTGCCACCACCACCACCATTAACATTACTACCGTTGTCGCCACCCCATGACCACCACCATCATTATCGTCACCTATCACAAATTGCTACCACCGTCGTCTATCGTCGCCACCACCCACCACCATCATCGTCTAATTCTTATATTTATTATCACTGCCACCATTATCTCACTACCATCGTCAGGTACCACCCACTACCATCCGTCATCGCCTATGATCGTCGCCAGCCACTGTCATCAATCCTCACCACACTTACCACCATTACTTGTCATCACCCACCACAGTTGCCACCCACTATGACTCACCGCCACCACACTCACCACCACCACCATCACCATCGTTGCCATTCGCTACCACCCATCACGTTGTTATCCATAAGCACCTATCATTGCTCACCACCACCATCGTCACCGCCCACTACCACCGCCATCACTCATGACTGTCACTACCACCATCATCATCCAAAATTCACCACCATCGTTGCCACCATTTCCACTCACAACTACCACCACCCACCACAACCATCATTATCTTTCACCACTACCATTGCCGTCCATCACCACTATCACCGTTCACCCCACTACAATTGATGCTTAAATTCATTTTTTTTTTTTTTATGTTTGTGATTTTTATTTTGAATGTGAATACAAATATGTTTATTGTTGATCATTTCTTTTATTATTTCATGCCTTTAGACACAAGGAATAACTAGTTCTATGATAAGATCACAATGTGAGTGAATCATATCCAATGATCAAAATTTTATTGTGAAATGGTCGAAACGTCCGAAACATTTCCGTTTTCAAGAAGACTGAAACGAATCAATAATGAAATCAAAATTTTAATACTTTAATGTGTTTTATAATATTTGCAAGATATTTTGCAATGCGTCAATACATTTGCATAAATGTTTTAAAATATTTTAAGATACTTTGGTATATTTCAACTAATGTTTTGAAAAAATAATTCTTAATTTTTTTTATTTTGTTTCTGGAATGAATAGAAACATTTCTAAAACATGTAAAAATATTTCCATTTTCTCAGTGATTGAAATAATATGCCGAAACAAAATTTTAATCTTGGATCTATATTTCAATATTAAAAAAAATGGAAGAGGATGAAATGCCATTGAAATTTATTCAACACCAGGGGGAGACTTGTGAAAGTTTCTATATTACTAAAAATCCCCATTAAACAAATCAAATTCAACAAATCCCGATTAAATTCATTACACTAAAAAAAGTTTCTATATTACTCACTTCTTGGGTCAATTGAGGCTTTGAAGGTTTTCTTTCCTTTTTCCTAAATTTCTCCTTGACCCACCTGCTTACCTTAAAGTAAGTCATATGAAACATTTGTTGTTTTTGTTCCTACATACACCAAACTTGGAGTAAATATTCAATACAACTGTTATATTATGTTAGCATTGTCACTATAGTTAGTAACAAATAATAAAACACAAAATAGGCAATGTAAATTTCACTTGAGTATTTATTAAATTGCATAGAACGAAAGTAAATAGTTGTGCGCGATGATTTTCACATAATAGATGTAATGGAAATAGATATCCCCTCTGATGAACTCATGTTCGTCAATGTGGTGGATTCCGCAGGAAGGAATGAGTTAAGAGGGCCTAATGAGTGATGATGAATTGTTATTGTGACTATCCGATTGATCCTAGGGGTGACACATCATTTATGGCACACAAAAAATAAATTAGAAGAGAGTCAGAGTGTTTTTCGGCATATCCCTTCCGACGATCAAGTCAATTTTTTAAGAGAGTAGAAGAAGAAAATATTATATTGCTCTTCAGTGGTGAATTTGCGTATATTTGTAATATGTTTTTGGGGAGTATTTATACCTCCAAAAATCCATCATTACAAATGATCTAGTCAGTAGGTAGTGTCTAGCAATGAGATAGTGTGCCTCCTACTTTACATAGGAGATGCCCCAATATTAATTGCTCCGTAAATACTTTAAATGCTAGGAACCTAGGGCATTAAATACTTCATATCCTTGGCTTCCCTAACCACTGTGGATATCACATCACTTGAGGATTCATTAAATACTTGTCTTTGACAACCATAAATCAGCAAGGGTATTTCTATCTTTTTACCCTTCATCCTATGGTTCTAATAACTCTTCCTGATTGAGTGTCCAACTCGTTCTGCCATACAGAGTCCATTGTCCAGAGTATGTTCATGATTCTTAGTCTAACTTATTCTATCCAATTGTCAATCACTAGCCTCTTTAGAGGCCGACACACATGCTTTTACCATGGCAAAAGTTGTGCTCTCGATGCCGAGAACACGTGTCCTCATTAGAACCAAAGTGTACCCTCGACACTACCAACACATGTTAGTCAACCAACTCTTCTCGAAAGTGTTCCTTCAATAATGATTAATTTACATGAAAAAATAACTATAAATTAGTGTGTGATTTATTTCCTTCATTGTCTACATATAGTCATGGACCTACTACCTCAGTATGGCAAAACTGACATGACAAGGCTCATTTTATTGACATATAATAATAAAAAAAGAGTTGTATTAGTTAATATAAATTAATTCTATACAAGTAAATAAAACATAAAATTAAATATGAGATAAAAATAATACTCATTGTAATTCAATATTTAATAAGAGGCTAAATAAGAGTGAAAAAATAGAATAATAATTACATATTAACCAAAAAATAATCAATTTAATCTATTATGCATACTATTGTTTAGTTGGAGAATAAAAAAGTAATATATAATTTAATAAAATTTTACTCTACTATAATACCACCTCTTCAAATGGTATTAAAATTGACTCAATAATTCATTATAATTTTTTAATACTCTTTAATACTGCAACCATGCAACCAAACCACCTGTATCAGTGTTGGAATGAAAATTTACTCCAAACCAGAGCATGGTAAAGTGGAACCCATTTTCACATTCCTAATAAGGGCACATAGTATCTACCTATTTCAACCCTAGTGTAGTGTGATACTCGTGAATTCATCAAATTTCGAAGAATTTCCAATCAATTTATAATCAAATACTACCTTAGAATCGTTCAAAAAAACCATTAATCTACTGCTCAATAACTGAATTCAGATTCATATAAAAAAACCGATCCACGCAAAGACTAAGAACCATGGATGCTATCCAGTTAAAAGGGTTTCTGAAATCTCTATAGGTTTGTGAGCCATCTGGATCTCAGCTTATTTAAAAAAAGTATATGAACTAATAAATAGAGAGAAAAAGAATGTGGGGAAGATGATTGTTGAATTTTCAACGGATAAAATTGAAACACAACTGCCCATCTTCCCCGAATCGAATTTCGCAGGGAACTCTTTCGGATAGAGTGCACATTGATCGCACTTCGCCGATACACACAATCCCTGCTTTTGTTATCATATCACAAGCGAATGAGAGAGAGAGAGAGAGAGAGAGAGAGAGAGAGAGAGAGAGAGAGAGAGAGAGAGAGAGAGAGACGTCGGCCTCCTGTTACAGGAAGTTCAGAAGATTGTGACATGGTATTGGAAGAGGAGGATCAGTGTGTATTTATAGGGGACTCCAAAACAATAAGATTAGGGTTTTGTAGCTTGCCAAAGTTGGGCCTGATTACCGAAAATGCCCTTGCAAAGTTTAGGGTGTCCGGGTTGGGCTTAAGGCTCGGTAAGGTCCAATCAAAATATAAGAATGTCTGAGATGACAAACTGGGCCTTACCAGCTCAAGTTTCCCATTGGATTCCGGGGCAAATTGCATTTTGCTCCCTGGAGGATTTAAATTTTTTTATTTTATATCTTTAAAGATTAAAAGTATCATAACGTGATCCTTCCATTAATTTTTGTTACTCATTCCACCAATATCAATGTGATGAATTTTGACAGAATAACCAACAAAAGTTAATAGAAGGATTATATTGTAATATTTTTAATACATTGAGGGTACAATGTCAAAATTTTAATTTTTAAGAGTGCAAAATAAAAAATCTTAAATTTCTCAAGGTATAAAATAAAATTCTTCCATAAAGTAAATTTAGTTCTTTTTTAAAAGTATTATTAACATATTTTACAATTTTTAATTGTGAAGGACAAAAATGATGGTTTGTAGAAATTACACATATAACTTTATTTCATAGTCACAAGTCTAAAAGATACGTGGTTAAGACAATCTTTTATTATAATACCATTAGCACGTCTGCAATGCAAATATTTATTCAAGAACACCACCACCCCCACCCCTACCACCACCACCACCACCACCAAAAAAAAAGAAGAAAAAGAAAAAAGCATATTCAGTTAATGTAATACATTGGATCAGGTAGCTTAAAAGTCCTGTTGCCAACATAGGTACCTAGGATATCACTCCACTGATCACCGATGTTCCCTATGATTCTGTAACCATTTCTCTCCATCTTTTCCCTTTCACTTGATTTGTATACAACTGCAGTTGTGCCTGAAGCAGATGCTCCTCTGCAACCAAAAAAAAAATGTCAATCAAAGACTAAATAGAATAGATTGCATAGGTTTGCGACTCATGCCGATTGAGAGATCAATTTAGACTCGATCCAAATTACAAAAAACTTAAAATGAGTTCTTACCGAAACCGAATTAGATCAAAGATTTGTCTGTCGTTAGAGTTTTTAAACTTGGTTTACTTAATTCGAGCTAAAATTTAGGTTCAATTCATATTAAACGTAGAATAGATGGTGTTACCAAATTTTTGCTTACTTTAGTATGAGCTTCTCCCAAGTATGGTACCCTGCATTCTTCAGATTGATAGTTGTAATGTTCCTCTGATTTTCTGGTCTTCCGGTGAGGAAGACAACCTTTAACCCTATTGACAGCAACTTCTTGTATAGCTTTAGACTCTCTGGTAATGGTGGTGCTTTGCCTGTATTCACCCATCCCTTGAACAGAGTAGGATTATATGGCTCCGCCCTGAAAATTCAATTCAAATCATCGCTATGACCATAACATAAACCAAGAAAACTCGCATTTCTTGAGCTTTTGGTGCGATTGCCGGAGAATTGGGATAAATTGAAAGATTTAGCTACTAACAGATAAATTTTGACAGAACATCGACCGCAAATGAAAGATGATGCCCGGGAGGCATTTTCTTGTTTTGAAAGGTGTCAAGACACTTCTGCAATTCCAACCATCATTTAATTTTATGATGAGGTTAGCATTAAAACCCACACGCCATAAGTTCTGAGTCTTTGTAATTTAAACCAATCTCAGTTTAGTCGTTGTACCGTGATTTGTTGGTGATTGAGTTCATACGATGTTTATGATTATGATATATCAACAATAAGTATATAGTTTGACTGATTTTTCGATAACAAAAACAATGATATACTAAGGAAAAAGTAGTTCTTGATACATGCATTGGAGGTATTTGTGAAAAAGTAACGTTATAGGAATTGAATTAGAGATCTAATTTAATGTAATTATTATAGTAATTATGAGTGTCAATATTAGATGAAATCCACCTTTAATTCAATTGATGCATTGAATTAGATGAAATTCACCATCAACTAATCTCTTTTTTTATCTGATGAAAGGTTGGCCATTCAACTTCCGTCACTACCGAGTCGCGAGTGAAGGGAATGAGTTGACTAATTTCAATGGTGTTAGTTGCCACTCGAAATCCCATAATGGGAAACTTTTTACTTTTGCAATTTTCTTTTCTAATGACGGATGCCAAAACAGCAGCTCCATAAATGAAAAACACTAATTTTTGAGTAGGAGCGATAATCGAGTCGATTTTGTCGAGTTTATTTATTTTTTTAAATTAAAAAAATTATATAAATTTGACTTATTTAAAAAATGAGTTGAATACAAGTCAAACTCAAATAATTCGACTATTTTACATATAAAAACAAGTAGAGTCTTTTATATATATTTTTTTAAATGAATCTAAAAAATTATTTAAGTCCAATCAAATTTTATCTAAATCGAGTTTGAATAACTTAACTCAATTATCAGTCCTATTTTCAAGACTTCAATAAAAAGAGTTTGTGAAAATGAAGTGGACTTAAAATAATCAAATTGTTTACAATTATTTTTTAAGTTTATATGATTAAGCATCAAATCAAAGTGTAGAATAAAGAGAGAGAGAGAGAGAGATATACATGGTACAAAATCATTTTAGAATAAGGAATGTTTATATAGAATTTGGGAATATATTCCACATGTTTGGACTTTACCCTTTTGCAAATGAAGTTCGAAAATTTGATCAAATTGGATTAATTCCTGAAATTTGAACAACCCAAAATCGAATTCAACTGACATGAATCAAGACTTATACAGTAGAGAACTATTTACCAAAAAAGAGAACAAGTGGGGAACTGATTTGACATATGAAGATCAATTTAGATCTTCTTGTCTATTCCCCTTTTTTGATTGGATTTGTCGTCTATAGTATCGGAATTAAAATTCGGTTTTTATTTATTATTTTTGTGAGTATTTTATTATCGTTGCGTTTATTTTTATCATTATTATAATATCAAAAAAATAATAAAAATATTTATAAAAATAGTAAAAACACCAATAAAAATTACAAATCACTCACAAAAATGATATTTTTTTTGTACAAAAAAAAAAGTTATAAAAATAGTTATTATAACAATGGTAAAAACATCAATAAAAATGATAAAAATACCCAAAAAAATTATAAAAAAATATTATAAAAATACCCAAAAAAGTAATAAATTTTAAAGGTACGATACCAAATTTATTTATTTGATAACTCAATCAAGTCCTTTTTTTGACATGTTACTAGGAGTAACCCGTGTCAAAAGACACAGTGCAATGTAAATATTTTTCAGAGGGATGTTAGTGGTTATTGAATGAATCAATTTAAGACCGTTATATGAACTTATTTAAACCTACTCTATTTTATATTATAGAGGACTCTAGACCAGTAGCAAATTAATTTTTACTTATGAAAAAATAAAGGGCAAAGTAGGAAATTCAAATGTCGGCCAAAAATGAGAACGAACACTTTTCTTCAATTTTAGTGGGCCACTGCTTGAATCTACCAAACGCACACAAAATGTATGTGATTTGACAATCATTCTGTTTAGTCAACTTGTAAAGAAAGAGAAAAAAAGAATATAAATGCACAAGCTTATTATATACACATGTATTACTTAATTGCCATTAGTGACACACTATCTTCTTAATCAACCAATGGAAAGAGACACATGGACTAGCACGAGTCATTAAACACCAATTCTTTGCAATTAAATTGCTTGCAAAAAGGTATCATGAATCTTCCATGGTTGGCTATTACAATAATGTAATAAAAACATCCCCCGAGTATGATTTGGTTAAAAAAAACTTTAGAGATTATTATCTCGAGATTTGGTTGGTTATTACAATAATGTAATAAAAATAACCCCCAAGTATGATCTGATTTGAAAAACATTATAGATTGTTGTCTCGGATTTTAAATTTTGAATCTTGCAAGAGATTTCTTAGTGATTCAATTATTGTTGATTATGTGCGTTCAGAATTTACGTTATAATCATAAATTCAAAAAAAATACATGACGGAGATGAAATATCTCAATTTTAAGAAAATATGATATAGTTCGGCCATTCCTCAAGACCATGGTTCATGGCAGATCCCATAGAGTGGTTGTTTGAATCAGCTTTGCTCCCACATTTTCTGAAATGCATATTCTGTACACTCCAACAGGCCAGCCTCAAATAGCATCTATTTGTTGTATAATGTTTTCTTTATGTATTACAAGAATTAAGGTTTTTTCAGATAATATTTTTGTAACAATCGTATCTACCGTCACAAAAAAATATATTTTGAAAAAAAAAGAGTTTTTTTGTGAAGGTAGTGCTATTAAAAAATGTTTATTTGCATAGAGGCCGTTGCCTGTCACAAAGAAAGAATTTTTAAGACTTCACTTGTTATGACAAAACGTTGTGGCAGTATTGTTCGTCATAATAAGTGAGTCTCAAAAAAATTTTATGACAATAACGACCCGTTTTATATTGTGGCCAAAAATAAATTTTTTATAACAGGATTATCGTAAAAAAAATCTTTAAAATATTTTTTTTTTCGGGTAACGGGGGGACACTACTATCACAAAATATTTGTCAGAAAAGATTCTAATTCTTGTGATGAAGGCGTAGGTCACTCCATAATACTTGCCATTGGTCTTGTCAACTGGCGATGTTGGAAACCTTTCAAGTGTCCTCATGTTTAAGGGCAGGCAAGATATTTACTCCCGGAGTCCTGGGACCCCCACCCCTCTTAAAAAAACCCAAAATAAAAAGAAAAATAATAATAATAATAATAATAATATAATAAGATTGGTTCTAACTATAAGTACCCCTAATCTACATTCTTAAACCTAAAGTTTATAAGATCTTAGAAACTCCATCCTAAAACGCATAGATATACATTGTTTAGAAAAACAATGTAAAGGTAATTTTATACTAATACTAACAACTCTTGTGTGTATATAATGATGTAGATTTGTAGATCATTTGCTTCCTTTCATTTTACAACTACTATCAATAAATCAAAACTCGAAAGAGATCGTCTTATTCATGATTTATATAAATGATTACGTGCATTTGAAGCTTACCCCTGGTCACTGACTCTATAGAACTCTTGGTTGTGGTAGTTCTTGATTATAAAAAACCCCATTATCAAAACCCCTCTATAGTAAAGCTTTTGTTGAAAAAATCTATTTATGAAGTACCATTTTGTCTACTGAGAGAGAGAGAGAGAGAGAGAGAAGTATCATATTGTTTATACGTACCCAAATCCATGATCTGCATAGTAAGGCAGATTAGAGAGTGCAGTCTCATCAATGTCAAAAACCCATATATCCTTGCCATCTTTAGCCAGTTTGAGGCTCTGTGCATAGACAAAAGCTTCTTTTGCAACAGCTTCTGAATCTTTCTTGTATTGGTGACCGATCATGTAATGCCCCAAGTAATCTTCGCAGACCTGTGGGATCGTTCTCCATTCAATGATATTGTGAGCTTCGACGCCGAGTCGCCAACTCAGGCAAGATAAGCCAGGAACAGGAGTTCCGGCTGCACCGAACTGTGGCCGGAGAGAGTGAATTTTGCGAAGATCTCCGACTTCTGATCCACCGGAGATTGCAACAATGAATGCAAGAAACAGTAGTAGTAGTGACAGCATTCCCATCTTATGACAATGTGCTTGAATATAGAAGTTTATCACAAAGCAGTGGTGCGTAACCTGGACCTTAGCCTTTCTTTTATAGGCTTTAATCTTCAACCTATGCCACATGTTTTAGATTTCAAACTAGAGCAATGCTACCTTAAAAGGGAGAATTACACCTAAATCCCTGAAGTTTGTCACTTAATCACTCAGATTCTCTAAAGTTTACATGTACGTAACATTTAGACCCCTATTATAAATATATCCGTTAATAAATTACACCTACATCCCTTGAAGTTTTTACGCATATAATACTTAGATTTTTTAAATTTAAAATATTATACTTAGACAAAAATACTACAATCAAAAATAGAATATCAAATATTTTAAATTTTATACCAAAATTTATGTTTTATTGTATCATTTATTGAAATAAAATCCAAAAATAAAAATTTAACTTTTTCTTAAAAAATTGTAATTAGTATATAATTATACTATCTATTGGAATAAAACTAAAAAATCAAATAAGGGGTCTAAGTCATTCTTAATAGAGCATGAATTTTACAATCAAAATTCATGTTCTATTATGTCATTTATTTAAATAAAATCAAAAATAAAATTTTATTTTTTTAAAAAAAAACATAGTTAGTATACAATTATAATATATATTAGAATAAAACTAAAAAATTAAATAATTGATCAAATTGTAATGAACACAATATCTTTTAGTATCAATTAAAATAGTTTGGTATTTTATTTTAGTCATTTTAATGACCAAATTAAATTCCAATAGACAATATAATTATATATTAATTATAATTTTTTAAGAAAATTTTGAATTTTGAATTTTTATTTTATTTTAAATAAATGATACAATATAACATAAATTTTAATTGTAAATTTAAAATATTTAATATTCTATATTTAATTGAAGTATTTTTTATCTAAATATAACATTTTAAACTTAAAGGATCTAAATAATATGCGTTTACAAATTTCAGGGAGTTTGAATGTAATTTATTAATGGATATATTTACAATAGAGGTATAAGTGTTATGCACGTACAAACTTTAAGGAGTTTGAGTGTAATACTTCAATTGTCAGGAGGTCTAAGTGATTAAATGACAAATTTCAGAGATTGTAGTGTAATTCTCCCAACTTAAAATGTAGGCTTTAAATATAAACTTGATCAATTGTTATATTGATTTTATTATGGATTCTAGCATTTATTAAGATCTACTACTTATTCAACAACAGTGATTGATCAAGCCTACATTTTAAATCCAATAACATTTACCTTGAAACAAAATAGAGTGTATGTAGCATGAATGTGCTTAGTTACTAATAGAGTGTGTATAGAACAGATGAACTTAGTAATTTGATAATAAAAAATTAAATGAGATAGGAATGGAGATTTGTGACGTGAGAATAACCCTGTCCCAAAAATAAAATAATGTTCATTTTATTTTATTTGTTTTTTTTCCATATCAATTGGCTTGATCCTTTTAAGCTCAATCACAAGTAGAAGAATATAAGGATGTAAATATCAAAAAAAAATTAATAAAAATTATTTTTACATCTTTGATGTAATTGATATGTTGAAAAAAATTGGACGTAAATAAAGTAAACGAAAGGGTGAGGCGCAGATTAGGTCGCTCTTTCTTAAGGCGATTTGCGCCCTTTTATGAAAGAATTACAGATCAAAAGGTAGTAAGATGTGAGTTTGAGAAGATGGTAAGAGATTAAGGATCCAAAAGATAACATGAGTATGAATTGAATTGATCAAATGTAAAATAATCATTTCCAAAACAGATAGTTGTTAATAATTATGATATATCTATAAATCTTACTTGTATATATGTTATATACCAAACATGAATATGAACCGAATTGAATGTTAAATCATATTTTTATAAAGAAGAGTTTGAATTTAAAAAAATTTTAAAAAATCAATTCAAACCCCTCCCCAAAAATCATCCAAACAAATCCTTATCCTCTGTCCTTTAGTATGTGCTTCCATCCCGAATTTTTTTTTAATAATAATCAGTGTAGAGAAGTATATTTTATGAGAATGATTGTGGCCACCGTCCCCAGAGGGATTATTTTCCAATTATTTTCCCCTACCCCACAGCCATACTACTTTTAGGCTGATATGAGTGATGACAATACCGGCCCTATCAAGTGAGGCTGTCGGTTAGGGTCCCACTTGCTTTGGGCCCTGTTTGTGTATATTTCATAAAATTATATTAATTTTTTTAAAAAAATAAGATAGTTTCGTAAAATGATCAAAATATTGTTCTTTAAATCTTAATTAAAAAAAAAGATCAGATTATATTTTTTAACAAAAAATTACAAGATTTTACGCTTTTATTTTATTTGAATTTATAATAACTCTGACCTATTTATACATTTATATTTTCTTGAATTATACTTTGAGTTAAATTAGTTTTAATTTAAATAAAATGTGTTTTTTTTGTAAGTTGTTTTTCACCTTAATATACATGCTAAAAGATATAAATTTAAATATTTAAAAAATAAATTATTCATCTAAATAATTTTGGAGCTCCATTTAAAAAATTTGTCTAGGGTTTCAAGTATTATTGGCCAGTCCTTACCGATGATGATATGCTCCTTTTTTATTTAAATTTAAATACAAAAGCATGCCACGATTGTTACTGTCACTCGTCACGTAGTGTCATAATTTAATAAAAATGGATCATAAATAATAAACATTCATTTAATATAATAAATATCTCATGTAAAAAAATATAATGTATTTTATTTATCTAACTATTTTTTAAAATAATGGCACTAAATAAAAGTGATGAATCGTCAATGTTTATTCTGAATCTCATTATGGCCTTTGGGAAATGGGCAACCATTCATGGTTTAGCCTATCCTGACACGTTTCCACCCGACAAACCAATGGTATGGCTACAGAAGCAACAAACAGGAAATATAAATATTAGAAAAAATAGAAGTTGGTACAAAAATTGAAACTTATTTGAGATAAAATATATTAAAAAAATTTAGTTGTTCCTAAGTATATATTTATGGAAAAAGACCAACAGGTCTTTCAATTTTAAAAAAAAAGTTTAAGGTTGGTTTGAAAACAATCGGTTTCGTAAAAACAATAACACGAAGAGTAAAGTCAAAGATGGAAATCAGCGTACAATCTTATATTTCAAAATTGGGTTTTGAATTTTAAAATCAAACATCCGTTGTTGCACTGTAACTAAAAATTTGGGATTTGATGGTTTAAATCAATGGCAAAACAATTTTGTGGTAATGAGTCAATGGGATAAAAAATATTCTGATTATTAATGTCTGAGCCACTTGGCTCCAGAGAATGGTGCTTAAGGTTCTCCGAGAATTGAAGGATTAACACAGAGGAAATATAGTGGTTCATCGACTAGGGAGCTCGGCTAATCCACTCTTCAATGGAGGCTATGACTCCTTTTTCTTTATTGATCATACCAAATGTTTACAGAATAAATTTTTGGTCATTCGGTCCCCCTTTCTGATGGGGGCGTTACATGGTATTTATAGGGGTGACCCTTAATCTATGAGATCTGATTTGTGTTCCTCGCCATCTATCCGAAAAATTCTCTTTGATCTTAGGAGAGTATCTTGGTTGGTTGAGAATTTTGTGTCTTGAATGTTACTTCAAACCGCTTGTAGAGTTCTTTATAGTATTCAATTGCTTCCTTATTGTTTCAACTTATTATCTCGCTTGAGGGGAGCTCTAACTCTGGTTTTTTGAGCTCTGCATAGCTCTGACTTTCTGAGCTCTGCATACTTGACCTTCATGTTTGACCTCCGTTCTCAAGCTCCTGCTCGGGAATCATTCTGAGTATCATCAGTTGCCCCCCAGTTCTTGGCCGAGCTGGCTTGGGCAAGGGCTGAACTTAAGATGTAACAGTAATGACTTCCCAATCAGCGCCTTCAAATGTGCTCTAGCTGTGCATTTTTATTTTAGTCTTCCTTGTCTCCCTTGCTTTAAGGAGTGCTGAGCTCTTCCTGAAACAAGAATGCTTTGGGAGTTTCATACTTGAGCTTATTGGATGAGAGTAAGTGGTAAATCTCATCACCAGCTACTCCCCGCGTTTCATGCTAGCTTTGACTATTCTGTAGGTTTATGTAGCCGAGCTTAGGTTGTGGTGAACTGAGAGGCATGGAGCTTAAAACGATCTTATTCTTGAAGGCTCGGGGGTGTCTGACACAGCTTTTTTTTTAGTGGGAATAAGGCTGCCGAGTTCAATTTTGAACTTGGGAACTGTCTGAATTTTTCAAGATGTTGGACTTGTAGACCTCATGGTTCTGCATCTTCTTCTGAAAGAGTTTTTCTTCTTAAACTCCCCACCATAGGTGGCCGAGCTCATTGTGATGAACTTAGGAGTTTTATCGAGAGCT